GGCTTATCTGGCGCCCGCAGCTCACAGCCAAAATGCGAGTGAGCGAGGGAGGGTGCACCGGTACCACGCTATTGTTATTAGCATCTGGTGCTAGCTGCTCTAACGGATATAAGAAGAAGATGTTTCTACAATAATGTGGAGGGAGAGTCCTCTCCAGTCAGACTGAGTGGCTGATAACTACAGCTCAGTGAGGTAAAGGACACTCTGAGTGTTTAGATAGTTCACTTTAGTCTAAGTTATCTCAGTGGGTCTCAAACGTTTTGATCACAATTTATGTTAACACATATTTCCAAGGCACTCCATTATAATTATTGGGATAAACAGGTTTGAAATCATTCCAATGTATACTATAGGACAGTAAACCAAAAATATCCTTTAAAACTGGAAAGATAAAAATATGCATAAATAAATAAATGTTAAGGTAAAATAAGATATGAACAACAAAAATAAAATAAGTTACATTAATTTGTTATTGGCTATGGTAGGTTATTGGTTATGTTCACATACTTATTTGATTACATCCACTTGTCTAAGATGACAACAGAGACTTTCGACCCAAACCCAGCTGTTGACTTGTGGATGCAAGCAGCTAATCACAGACTCAACCAGAGAGGAAGAAGTAGGCCTACATCATCAGCTACCATGTCTGACAGAGAGGAAGACAGTCAGGAGGGTAGTGATGACTTACTGCTCGTGCTAATGTTGTCTTGTCCTAACCTCTGCATGTGTGTTCTGTGTTCACCTCTGCATGTGTGTTCTGTGTTCACCTCTGCATGTGTGTTCTGTGTTCACCTCTGTGTGTTCAGTGCCGTGTGTCTGGCAAATAAAGTCAAGACCCCCTAAAAAGTTACGGTTTATTTCATTTTAAGGATGAGCACCAAGCAACATCTCCAGGTGCTCCTTTGAGAACCAGGGCAAAAAAGTTATGTGCACCCCTGGTTATATAGGTTTTGTGCATGTTAATGGTCCCCAGAAGGAGTTTCTCTCCCACACGCCCTGACCCACGTCTTATGGGTTTCCCTGCACATTTTGTTATATTTAAACAAACACAAATATGAATTTAAAGTTTAATTTAATAATAATTAGCATTAAAGGTGGTGGTATGTGAGTTGTGTTACTGTTGGACAGACCCTCTGTTTTCACCCTTTATGCTCAGCTAAGAAGAACCTCTGCTTGCCCTTTCATAATCATCCAGATATACAAAGGGTATCTTGTCATCTAACTGTCATAAAAAAGGTTATTCCCAGAAAAGCTCACACTATGACTTTAAGACTATATGTGGGTGGCTGGGCTTCAGGCTCTTCAGGCCCTGTCCCCTAGAAGCTAACCTAGTGTCATAGTCAAGATTGAATTACTAAATAAAAGAGGACCCTCTGTCTCTCTGAGAACTTCAATTGGCAGCAATTTTTTGCAATGTCAGATCGACCCCTGTGGAAGATGTCTGTCAGCGGTTCACACATCCACTCCAGCCCGAGGGACACGATGAGGCCGGAGAAAGTTCAACAGCAGTTCACAATTTGCACTGCAAAGACTATCCCTCTTTATTTTACATTTTATATTCCAGACCTTCATCTCTTCCTTGCCTTCTCATTATCCCCCTCTGAGGGACGAGAGCTCAGATGGAAGCGCATGTGTCCTCCATGGACTGAATGTTAAGCATTTTTATTGAATAAAACAATCGCATTAGCCTTAGGGGATTTTCTCCGTCAGTTTCCTGCTGGTTAAAAGAGGCTTAGAACACCTGATGGATTATTAATTAATTTATCCTTCAAGCTTAGATGTATTTTCTTAATGTGGGGAGTAGACAAAAGGAAACATGAATGACACTTTTAATTAGAAGATGAGAGAGACTATGGGGTTTCATCATTTCAAGCTTTAAATTATGAATTTGCACGTTTTGCAAACACAGCGTTGTCAAAAAGATGACTTCAATTAAATCTCAAAGCCCAAATGCATTAAATTTGTATGCAAGTCTAAGAAAAGGAAATGTAATAAAAGCTCAGTGGTGATAATTAACCTGCCATTAAGGAAACATAAGAGCTTTCGCAGAGTCAGCAAAGAGTGTATCGTTGCCACTGCCACTTCTTCTCATCTGCTACTTCCTGATCTGATCTCATTGGATTAAATGGGATGTAATGATCACTCCTGACTGATTTTAAATTGAAAAACAATCCCCAAAAACATTTTCTAAAAATTATTGAATGCACAACTTCACATGTCACTAATTTATTTACAGCAGAACTGAAGCTGCAGGTCAACTAATTGTTTAGTATTGATCAAAATACATATATTTTGATAATCGATTAATTTTCCAAGTTATTTTTAATGCAAAAATGGCAGGAAATGCTGTTTTCAGAACAAAAAGATTGGGATTTACTGTTTTTTCTGAGTTTTACATCGTATTAAACTGAATATCTTTTGATTTACAACTAACAAAACAAGACAATCATTGGACTTTGAGAAACTGATGGATATTTCTACCGAACAAGAGTTGAATATATGTAATTGAGAAAACAGTCGGCAGATTAAAAAAGAACCAAACAATGTTTTTTATTCTAAGTAGGCTATACAACTTCGACATAACACTTTAAATAATAAAACACTGGATGGCCAATGAGATCCCTGATGTGGAGAACCTTGACGTGAAAATATTTGGCCGTCCTTGTAAAATCAGTTCCTCCATATTCAGCTTTAATTAGCCTCCCGCTGAAACTTGGATTGATTCAGTCAAGGTCTTCCCTTTTGAAGTTTCACAGAGGAGAAACTTTACTCACAAGCCTCAAATGTTGAACTTTTTATTTGAACGTATTTGTAGAGGAAACTTCTGTGTAGCTATGCAGTGGGAGTCACCGACTCAGGAAGGAGACACGGGAAGAGCAGTAGCTTTGATGTCAAACACATGATGGTTTATTTGGAGTTAACGGCCGGAGGATTCACATCACAAGTCCAAGAGTCAGAGGTTCTGACTTCACGGTAGAGTTGCCACGTCAATTCTGAAGAACTCTACCCCAGACCCATGTATTTAGCTAGTTCAGAGAGCATCATCAACATGCTGCATAACAAGATAGAATCATAACACCTCTATCAGCTGACGCCAACAGGCAGGAACAGGGAGACAAAACACTGAGAGCACAGCAGCCAAGGTTACAGGTGCCTGTGCTCAGTCAGGACAGTTTGAACTGATACACTGGGTCAAAGTTATGGGCCTTGGAAAATATTCCACAACAGTATTCATGTACTTTTTGTATTCTCTTAAGAAATAAAAGATATCCATTCTTTTTTAAAAGCATGAAGGAAAATTCCACCTTGTTACACCAACATTAATAAATAATTGAACAAAGCAATGCTTCAGCCTAATGAACAACTGCGTATTGATACCGATATAACTTGTCTTGAAAATTATTTTGTGCTTGGTTTTCATTTCATTGGTTTTCATTATAGATATTTCTAACTACACAACAAAACCCCCTTGATGTTATGCTCTAAATAAGGGTTTGTTTGTGCGATTCGGAGTGTATTTTTGCGAACCAAATTACAAATACTAGCATTTTTAAGAACCTAGTTAAATTAATTCTTGCATATACTTTAAACTGAGTTCGAAATTCTGCGTTCAAGTACCCTCAGATTCTGCTTCCAACTAATGACATGCAGAGACGTTTATTTAGTGCCAATGTCCTAAAACGTAAATACTATTTTTTCACCAACTTTTTTACCTGCTGCTCTATTTTTCCTTTTTTTTTTTTTTTACCATTAGTAGCTACCATTATCAATGTTATTGTTATTATCAACTCGATTTCATTATCATTTGTACACTGAACAAAAATATAAACGTAACACTTTTGTTTTTGCTCCCATTTTTCATGAGATGAACTCAAAGATCTAAAACATTTTCTATATACACAAAATAACCATTTCTCTCAAATATTGTTCACAAATCTGAAAAAATCTGTGATAGTGAGCACTTCTCCTTTGCCGAGATAATCCATCCCACCTCACAGGTGTGGCATATCAAGATGCTGATTAGACAGCATGATTATTGCACAGGTGTGCCTTAGGCTGGCCACAATAAAAGGCCACTCTGAAACGTGCAGTTTTGCTTTATTGGGGGGGTCTGGGGGGGTCTGAAAACCAGTCAGTATCTGGTGTGAGGGGTAGGGTTAGGGTAATGTTGTGAATCGAGTGGCCCATGGTGGTGGTGGGGTTATGGTATGGGCAGGCGTATGTTATGGACGACGAACACAGGCCACTCGATTCACAACATTACCCTAACCCTAACCCTACCCCTAACCCTACCCCTACCCCTCACACCAGATACTGACTGGTTTTCGGACCCCCCCAGACCCCCCCAATAAAGCAAAACTGCACGTTTCAGAGTGGCCTTTTATTGTGGCCAGCCTAAGGCACACCTGTGCAATAATCATGCTGTCTAATCAGCATCTTGATATGCCACACCTGTGAGGTGGGATGGATTATCTCGCCAAAGGAGAAGTGCTCACTATCACAGATTTTTTCAGATTTGTGAACAATATTTGAGATAAATGGTTATTTTGTGTATATAGAAAATGTTTTAGATCTTTGAGTTCATCTAATGAAAAATGGGAGCAAAAACAAAAGTGTTACGTTTATATTTTTGTTCAGTGTATATTAATAGTAGTAGTTATGGTGCTAGTGGTATTGAAATAGTAGTCATGGTTGTGGTTTGTCGACTAGCTGTGCTTGAATTTACCATAAAACAGCAATGTTGTATAAAAAGGTAGAACATTTTTAGGATAATTATAGGCTTTTGAGTCACTCTATGCCAAACACCAACAAAACACATTTTGAAATGAACCTCATACACCAGGATTAATGTATTGCATGCAGTTCCCAGTTCAACATAACAGCCTAATCTCTCTTTTAAATCAGTCTTGCATGATTTAGCCACTTCCCCTGCCGACCAAGAATTGTCTGCGTGTTAACTCTCATATTTCCAACAGCCCTTGAAAGCACCATATCGTACAGTGACGGTATCATGGCGCAGCAGAGGCCGAAGACATCATGAGACATCCCCGCATTCAAACTTTAATTACACCTCGACTTGTACGTATTAACCCGATATTCTCTCTAAAATCATCAACATCTTTGGAGGCAAACACTGGTGAGTTCACCTAATCTGCTTATTTTTAAGGTTATTCTCGTCCAAGTGGAGGAAAGACAGACAGTAGCGTTACATCATGTCCGACCGCAAAATAACGTGCACAGAAGTTGCAGCACTTTCCGTTCTTGAGCTGTGTTATTGTTATTGTTGTTCTTGTTGTTATTAGCGTTTAGTGACGCTTCATCTGTGGCTTTGTATCTGTGCTAAGCTTTAGCATTAGCATCTGTATTATCACAGGCCAAACATGGCATTGAAGAGAGACATGTCTCCTCTCTGGAGCCTCAGTGTCAGTATATGGACTTGTATGGAGCATACTGAGGATGCATACGTTTATTCTTACGAGAGGTGGAATGTTACTCAGTCAGTACCTTTACTCAAATACTGTAAACAAGCACACTTTTGAGGCACTTTTACATCAGTTTTTTCATGTTTTTACAACTGAGTACATGTACTCAAGTACTGTAAAATTGTACTTCTACTCCATAATTTAATGCATCAATAATTACAATCAAAACACATCATATATATATTGTTCTGAAATGGACCATTCTGCACAATGACTACTTTTATTTTTGGTACTTTAATTTAATTTTGATGCTCGTACTTTTCTACTTTTACTTGAGTACAATTTTGAATGCAGGACTTTTACTTGTAACAGAGTATTCCCTACACTCTGGTACTTCTACTTTTACTCAAGTACAAGATCTGAGTACTTCTACTTTTACTCAAGTACACAATTTGAGTACTTCTCCCACCTCTGCTTTTAGTCCACTAGTGTTATTGCTTAAGGGAAAGTGTGGATGCTAGTCTTATACTTGTAAGATTGCTACTTTTATTTGAAAAGATAAGGTTTGAGTCATTTTCTAACCACTGATTATAACTTTAATCTGTAAATCTTGGTACAGGAATGAGAAGAATGCAGGGTCAGATGAAGGAGCACATATCTTGGTATTTGAAATTATCCCTGGTGGTTTTATGACTTGAAACAAGCCTTCAGTGTGGCACTAAAATGTTCTCTTGACTGCATTCCCAATGCCAGATTAAAGAGTAACATGCTGCTTTATTCCCTTGGCAGCGTGACAGACTGTAGCTCCGTCTCAAAAATATATACATGACCTGACGGGGGGTTCACTGACTTCATGGAGATTGAGCAGGGCACAGTAGTGGAAGAAGTAGAAAATACATATTTGGCTATAGTATAAATAGCTAAACATCAGTATTCACATACTCTATTGCAACTATAAGACAGTATACATTTTTATGTATTCAAGTGAAACTACTAGTAGCTGCAAAAATAAGTACCAGTGTTTCCCCTAGGATGGAGTCATAGCAGCGGTGCTAAGGCACGTGGGCCCAGTATAATGTGAGCGCGGAGCGCATGGAATTTTTTAGTGTGTGCGCGTGCGAAGTGCGCCCCGCCAATTTGTTACTTTGTGTCAGCACAAGAAAGACTCTTGAGGCCTAGTACCAGGGCCGGTTCTAGCCAATTTGCTGCCCTAGGCGAGATTTCATATATAGAATAAATGAAAAACCTCTACAAAAGGCAAATACACTACAAAAAACAGAAACTTGTTGACATAGGTAATATACGTCAAAATGGCTTCAAATGTATTCAGTATTGTATGAGCTTGTTTTAATTGGGGGGTGGACGTCACATCCTCTAGGGGGGTCCGGGGGTATGGCCCCCCAGGAAGATTTTTTTTTAACATTTTAAAGTAAAATGCTTCAATCTGGTGCACTTTGAGCACACAATTACTAGAGACTGATCTAGGAGGTACAACTCTAAAACACCCATATGAAAAAGATCGGTTTACATTTTAATAATTAAATAAGTATGTGAACATAACCAATAACCTACCATAGCCAATCACAAATAAATGTCACTTATTTTATTTTTGTTGTTCATTCATATCTTATTTTACCAGTTAACATTTATTAATTTATGCATATTTTTGTATCTCTCCAACTTTAAACGATATTTTTGGTTTACTGTCCTATAGTATACATTGGAATGATTTCAAACCTATTTTTATTTATCCTAATAATTATAAAGGAGTGCCTTGGAAATATGTGTTTACATAATTTGTGGTCAAAACGTTTGAGACCAACTGAGATAACTTAGACTAAAATGAACTATCTAAACACTCCTTTACCTCACTGAGCCTCTCAGTCTGACAGGAGAGCTCTCCTCCACCCTGGCTGTAGAAACATCTTCTTCTTATATCCGTTAGCGCAGCTAGCACCAGATTATAATAACAACAGCGCCGGTACCGGTGCGCCCTCTCTCTCTCCCTCTCTCGCTCCCACGCTCGCACTTTGGCTGTGAGCTGCGGGCGCCTGATAAGCCAACATCCCCCACTTTCATCACTTACAGCGGCCATCGTACAGGGCAAATGGAAAGTGTAACCGGGGTGAAAAGGGTGTTACATTTACTTAATTATGAATGTTGTTACATCAAGGCAGAAAATTAGGATGAGCGCCAACGGTCAAAAATGTTTTTTCCCTCCCAGAGCTACCAGCGCAGCGCCTCCACAGATCTGGTGCCCTATACCAAAAATCGGCCCTGCCTAGTACATACTGTGGCAATGTCTCAACATTTAGCAAAAATACACCTTTATTGAACATACAGTAACACAAATACTACAAATCCACATAACAAACAATCAAAAATGAAAAAGGGTCGCCACTTATTATTATTTTAATAGAAAAATAAAAAGTACCTGGCTGGCGTCCCCTAGCAGCGGCGCGCATATTTCAGCAGCGTACCTCACAATTGAACTTAACTTGAGTAAATGTGATTAGAAGGAGCTCTGCTTGAATATGGGTTGAAGGTTTTGAACGACACGTATAGCAACTTTTATGCGACAGCGCCTCTTGTGTAGTGTCTTGCCATAAGTTACACAACCAAAATGAACTATTAAGAGTGAGACAATGTTCATTCATACTGTCCTCTTATCTTAGTATTGTTGCTGCTGGTAGCCTCATGCTGGCCCCTGGGGTGAGATGAGTGTGATGTGGGGGTGAGATGAGGGGGATGTGGGGGTGAGATGAGTGTGATGTGGGGGTGAGATGAGGGGGATGTGGGGGTGAGATGAGTGTGATGTGGGGGTGAGATGAGGGGGATGTGGGGGTGAGATGAGGGGGATGTGGGGGTGAGATGAGGGGGATGTGGGGTGTTTGCCTTTTTATGGCCAGGCTCAGCTGTGGAGAACCAGAAACTTCATGTCCCTCCGACCCAGCGGCCCGGAGCGACAGAAGGCAGAGCAGCTGCCCCACTGAGGGGGATCTGAGGGGGATAGCCCACCACGTTCTGCCCCTATAACGCAATAATCTGAGCACTGTTCAAAAACATCATCTAGATCAGGGGTGGCCAACCAGTCAGAGGTTAAGAGCCAATTTTTTTCTATTTTACTGCAAAGAGCCACATCAAACACACAGTCACTGATACCGCTTGTTTCAGTTTTTTGTTTTCTGGAGCCAAGATTTCAACCACGTCACTGATGCATTTTTGTGGCATTGGGATATATATTTTTTAAATCCTCTGGAGCAGAGAGAGGAGCTGTGGATTATTGTTATTGATTAATGCATCAGTGTTTCTTAGGGTCAAAAACACTAAACTCACAACTTAAAATGAAAGCGTTTAGTTTATTTAATAAAAGAGCACATGTTCAATGTGAAAAGTGACAGTAGTTATAGATTATTTGCAATTTGGTGCTATGTATATATTAAAAAATAATAATAATTATATATATATTTTAAACACCTTGAATTCCAGGGGGGGGCGCGGGGCTCCGTTGGCGGGGCGCAGCGCCCCTCCAAGACAATGGTAGGGGAAACACTGGATAGTGTTTAATCAACGATAGGTTTTCCCCCCCTCAAAGGTGATTGGTTCACTGCATCACAGGTATTATTGTGATTGGCTCTTGGGCCACATCAAAATTAGACGCGCTGTCATCCTCTCATACTGACTCCTGACACCACACATACACACGTAGGGAGAGCCGGGACGAAAGTAACACGGGACGAAAGTAACGGAGCGATTTTATCCGAGCCCAAACAACTTTGACCGGCCAAATTACGTCAGAATTATCAGCATTCAATACTTAACAGACCTACTAAATATCAGGTTTAACTGTCAGGAGTAGCTAGTGTTGTCACGATACCAACATTTTGTTTTCGATACCAAGTCAAGAATTGCGATTCCGATTCTTTTTTCGATACTTTTCTTAAAAAAAGGGAAACAGTCTTAAATGTAATTATTGTGCTTTATTTCACACCAGAACCAGAACCATAACACAAACTTTTAAACAATGAGAACAATAAATAAAATAAATGACAAGAATTCGTATTAAATCAAATTAATACATTTCTCACAGACGGGCCTCGTGGTGTCCGTAGGCTTGGTGCCCTCACTGTCAGAGATATAGCTAAAATACTTCCAAATTTCGCTTCTGGCGTCTTTTTTGTCAACAAGCCGAGGCGCAGCAGCAGTTGCACTCCCACTTGCAGCCATGCTTCTCGTTTTCTCACATGCTCTGGCAGCTAGCGCGTGCATGAGAGAGGGGAGGGACTTAGAGCGTGCTTGAGAGGGGAGGGACTTAGAACGTACTTGAGAGGGGCGGGACTGCAGGCACGGCTGCAGTGCAGGGAATGGAAGCAGAGCGCTGAACACACACGGCTCTTATTAAACGGCGCTTTCTCACCGGAGTACTTTCCCCCGTCATTCTTAAAGTACCGATACTAATGAAACGGAGGAATAGTAACGTTTTTAACGGCAGGGTATCGCGGTACCTTTCAAGTATCGGTACACTGTGCAACACTAGTCAGGAGTCAGTGTCTCTCCCCCAAACTCACACATATACAATTCGATATGAACTGAAGAGCCGCATGAAACTAGGCAAAGAGCCGCATGCGGCTCGAGAGCCGCGGGTTGGCCACCCCTGATCTAGATTATGTGCTACTTTTCATATTTTCTGTCATGTACCGTGTTGGTGGCTTCC